ATAGTTTATTCAACCTTGGTCGGTTAAGTAGGTTGTCATTAAAAAAACGTGCCTAAAGAAATAATGAATTGCAGACCAGTATCACACAAGGTGTAGTTTCACATTGTGAAGAAATATGAATACATTGTAATTGCATAAATTTTGTGACACAGTGGACGGGGTTGGCCTAATAGAGTCACCATCATTCATGGGGAAAGTTTGGATCACCTTGAAATTCGAGACTTACGAGAAAAAAATGGTTGATGACGTTTAAACAACCGTGACATTGTCAGATATCTACGTGATTAAAATTGTCCAATCAAAACATTGGGTATTTAATTGATATAGTTAACCATTAACTATCGAATGACATGTAAATTGTACTTCTTTATACATTTTTTTCATCCACATGTTCTGTTATTCACTATAGATATAAAACTATATTGGGTAAGTCGCAATTACATTTAAGGCGCTGACCAACTTTTCTTTTTTTCAAGAAGTCAACAAAGATTTGTTCAGTTCTGAAATTGCTGTGAATGTTATGATTGTTGATTGCTTTAAAAAAAAGTAAGGCTAGTATTAACATTAATGAACCCACATTGCATATTATTATGCTTAACTGAGCGAAAAAGAAGAAAAAAAGACATCCAGTCCTCGTCACGGTGGTTTTATACAGTTATTCAGGTTTATTGGATAACACCACAACTTATTCTCTAATATTACTTGCAGTGTATAAATAGCGTCTCAAGTAACAGAGCACCGACTCCCAAGTTATTTTTCAAGTGCGAAAAAAAAGTAGACCGAGAAACATGTTTTTAGGCCAAGGATTTGGAATAAAATATAGGATGATGAATGAGCTAGAATTGATTTTTTTTGTTATTAACTGGGTTTTTTTCACTTTTTTTGGACTTTTTCCCCTTCATTTTGGCTATACAGTACGTCCCAGAAAAAACGAAACCGAGAATTATCGATGTTTTATCATAACTTAATCACATTTATAATTAAGAATTGACACATATTTGGAAAGCTTAGATCCTCTTCTTTCATTTGATGCAACTTATACGCATTAGTGATTAAAATGATTTTGGAGAGAGGAAACCAAAAAGTCATTTGGCGAATGGTATATGAATTTCGAGGGGGAAATTAAGCTGGTAAGAACATGAACCGTTATCTACAGTCTGAACGACTTTTGGTATCACAAACATGACCGAGATAGGAGTATTTGCCTGCTCACTTCTTATATAGTTTTATAATGGTTGCATATCGCATAATGACCAATCATCCGCAACATAACCTTTAATAATGACATAACTTAATGCTCGGGAATCTTTTTTCATCCAAATAATTTTTCTTTTATTTGTAGCCGCTTGAGTATGTTTAATGTTTGTATATTTTTCTGTCTTCTTCGTGTTTCAAATTAATTATTCTGAAATGCCTGTAATCATGGTAATTTTGTAGCTTACAAAGCTCTTTTCATATTTGCTTTCCTTCTTCTCAGACTAATATATGTCTCTAATGAAGAAATATTTCAAGTTTTTTCTAAACAGAGCTGTTGAAACTTGCTTCATGCTAAGTACCTTTTCTGATTCATTTAAAGTTTTCCACTGTTCCGGTTTATACATAGCTTACAAAACATGCATATTTTCACTACTACTTTCAGTTTGTGATATTATCAAATAATGAAGAGTCGTTAAAAATTTCTCCGATTTTATCAAAGATAGCTCGTTAAGTAGCTTTCATGTTCGTGTATTGTATGATTACTTATGTTTAGGAATGATATTCAGCCAAGCCATCTTTCTTAACTTTGTAGCTAACAATATATGCATTTCACTTTCACTTTCGCTTTGTAGTATTTAGGATTCATGAAGATATATTTGATTATTTCGCAGAATGCAATTTCACATCATATAACATTTATTACATTTTCCAATAGATTTTATTGAACTTCGGTAGCTTAAAAAACATGCAATTTTTCCCCTATGCTTTCCATTTCTGATATATGTATGTCATGAAGACTATCTACCATTTTTCTCTTATTTTACTCAATAAGCGTAGAGTACATAAACAATGTAAACTTCTTAATCCGAAATAAACGCTTTCCGCAATGTTACCCATATGATCTTTCTGTCACTCATGTCTTTGTTAATGGCTAAGATGGAGATAGAGAGAGAGAGAGAGGGTGTGTGTGTGTGTGTGTGAGAGAGAGAGAGAGAGAGAGAGTGAATGTGATTGAAAGAGAGAGAGAGAGAGAGAGAGTGGGTGAATGTGATTGAGAGAGAAAGAGAGAGAGAGTGGGAGATTGAGAAAGAGAGAGAGAGAAAAAACTTGATAATGCTTTATTTTTAGTTGGTTCATAATTTTATGTAGAAGAGATAAAAAAAATAATTGTACTATGAGTACGATAATCTGTCGGTCCTTCATAACGAAATCGGCTGACGAAATGAAAACATTCTGGAAACCCATAATAATGTTGAATAACTGAAGTTAATAAAATGTTTGGACCTTATATCATTAGAAGAGTTAACTGAGTGACTTTATTTATTTGATAAAATAACATGAAACAGGAGGAATTCTAACAATTTATATGATAACGGGGAATTTTCCTCGCTTCTTAATTCTGAAAATCATAAACTGCCTGGTGTTCGATGCATATATCAAAGTGAATAAGCTCACATTTTTCCAAACACTGTGAGAAAGAGAAATCGACAGAGATAAAAAAAAAAATATATATATATATATATATATATATATATTACAAAGTTGCCCATCAAGAATATTCGAAAGTGTGTATTTCCTTTGAACTTTCAATATCAATTAAAAGAGTCATAGAGATTAATCCCAAAGATCCTGATGGAAAGATACATTTTATGAATCTAAATTAAATCATTTTGTCAAATTCATTTCATGAAAAGGGGTACAATTAATTATTCCAACTTTATGTGTAACAGTGCATATATGAAAGGATTTAAGAAGCATGTAACAAAATCAAAATTAAATTTAAAAATTGATTTTTAAGATTGAATTGATGGAAGAAAATGGCATTTTTATACTGGTGAAACAAGGAAACCTTCAAAACAATGAAAGTTGGAAAGAGAAAACATCATTATTCAAACAAACATCATGCCTATCAGCCGTCCGATTCATATCTCAAGAAATCCCTCTCTCGATCATCTCTTCAATCAAAATTCCAACATTAAACCACTCGAGTCATGAACAAAAATCAATCTATTCATTCTGCAAATATCAACAGTTAATTTATAGTGAAGTCTTTGAACCGTTTATCATATTAATATTCAGTATTTATTTATGCTACTTCTTTGTCTACCAATCGCTAATACATTTACTCTATTGTCACTATCCTATTTCATACTTCAGCCAATTTCATTCACAAAATAAAAAAATCAGCCACTTCGTTTCATTCATCAATAATTATTCTTTAATTCAGTGTACTATATGAATCAATCCATTAGTAAATAAATAAATATTTCATGAATAGATTAATAATCCATCCCTCTTGTTCATTCACATATATCATTATGTTAATAGTATTAAAGTAATCAACGGGTTAAAATGCATTTGTGATTTAACATTGAGATAATAAAAGTTTCGCTTTTAAGATGTAATTATAGATACTTTAGCCTAATATACAATAACAAAAATGTGTCAAATTGTCTGAGCACCGTTACTATTTGATGAATTTTTCACAAAAAAAGAAATTTCCATCATAATATTGAGCTGTGTCTGTATAATTTTAAGGAATTTTAGGGAAGTAGATCTGAAAGAATATCTTTCATGAATGTCACAACCTTATGTTATGAAGGCGATAAAAAAAAACAAATCCATCCAAAATATTATTCATTACTATTTTTGCATTATCAAAATATCATCTAAAGCACTTCACTAAAATAAACATCCCCTTCCTCACTCAAAATATAAACATACTAAATGTTTCTTGCTCATAATTACATTTACTGAACAGCATCATCGTCAGGACTGTATTTGAATGTATTTACTTGTATAATGCACATGGTCAGCGTTACTAGCTCATTTTTTCTGATCTGTTTTCTGTATATGATCAATTTGATTCTGTTTATTTTTTGGATGTTTAAAATAATCTTGTAACATTCACATTAAATCTCACTTCATTTTATGAGGCTCGGTTTCCTCCATTTCACTTCATTTCATTTCAGTCATCGGTTGCTTTCTTCGCCTTTCTGCACGATCGCCCGTTTGCAACACGTGTAATTTCACACACCAAAAAACACACACACACACACACACACACACCGATTGATGACAAAATTACTCAAAAATGTAGCGTTTTCATTAGCTATTTGACAACCCTTTTAACATCGGTATAGAATAACCTCGCACTGAAAACAATTGAAAGATACCCAATTACGAATACAATGTGGCACCGGGAGATTCTTTATGTGGCATATAAAGAGTCAAGTTCTCTTATACAAAAAAAAATCAATCGTTCTTCTTCTTCTTCCATTGAATATCAGAAGACTAATAGCAAAAAGGAAACTAGGATTCCCAAAATGAAGTACCTTAGAAATGATAAATATCCCCCTCTAATATTTTACCGGCCAACATGAAACCTTATCATCCTATAACTAATCAATTATTTGAAGTAACCGATTCTCATGTAATAAAAAGTATCTTTGTTTTGCTTTGAAGGCAGTTTAAAGCCCTAGACGAAACAAATCAATGAAACATAATAAAACAATGTATCCGATCGAAATTTTATTTAATGACAATGGGAAACATGCTTTAATAAACCGACGAATAACACCTAAGAATAGCAGATTGTCATAAAAATCAAAGGTCTTTTGATTTTGATTTGTAGGGCTTTCATAAAACTCTTGGAACAACCAAAATACATACATGTATATTTTGTCCAATATTCTTTTCTTTCCATTGTTCTTGTTTTTGTTTTTACGAAATTTTTATTAAAAAATTGATAGAAAATCATGTATACATGTATATCGGCATACCGATATACTGTTCATCGACAATACAAACAATTACATACCGAAGATTTTTCGCATTCACATCAAATTACATGCGTTAATTATTCATTTTACATGAAACCAAACATCACCTACCAAAATAGTGTAAAACTAACACTTGACAGACTATTTATGCAAAATATATTTTTAAACTTTGGAAAAAACTTTTAGAACAGCTGAATTTCATATGTTAATGTCATTCCCAGTGCGCTCGGTCATCTCGGGGCCTGCTCTGAGTGACTGACGAAGATGGCGTTCTTGCAATGGACGACGCGACGCGACGAAGAGGAGATCCAGCAGGCTCAGGCAGCGCTTTCAAGACCTCGAGACAGGCAGGAGAATTGGAATGTATGACTTCTAGAACCAACGGGAACCATATTAAAGAAACCTCCCGGAGACTGCGCTATCAACCTGTAAGCACCCTGGAAAAAAAATGATAATAAAAACGCAGCCTCTGGTGTTTCGCCAGGGCGTCTTACAAAAGGAGAAAAAGAAGAACCGGGGTTATCGCCTACCTTGCAATGACCAGGAGCGCGTGTGCGCGTTACGATTGTCCACAGTTTGATAGGTTACAACAGAAAAACGACAACAGAGACCATACAACACGTTCAACAAACACATCATGTACCACAAGACTTGCCTTACCGAAATATATACATACCTGTTTCCCCTGTAGAGATTCCGACTGTTGGTGTTGTTTCTGACGTAGTTGGTGTGGGTTCTGTAGTTGTCGGGGCAGGTGTTGTAGACCCCACAGAAGAAGATCCCTCCTGTGTGGTACTTTGACTGGTAGTGCTCTCTGTTGTAGCCGATTGTGATGTTATGACATTTGTTGTTGGTGTGATGGGTGGCAACGTTGTTGTAGACTCTACTGTGGAAGAGCTGGTAGTAGGATTTGCAGTGGTGGTGGATAGAATCGTTGTACCTTCCGCTGTTGTAGGGCTGTGAGTAGTGGTTGGTGAAGTAATGGGCAAAGTTGTTGTCGCTATTGATGATGAACCTTCTGTTGTTGTAGGGCTGTGAGTAGTGGTTGGTGTAGTAGCGGGCAAAGTTATTGTCGCTTCTGATGTTGTCTGTTCTGTTGTTGTAGGACTTGCAGTAGTCGTAGTTGTATTGGGCAACGGAATTGTAAAGTCTGTTGTGTTAGGACTTGGAGTGGTTGGTGGAATGGTGGTAGGAATGGTTGTAGCTTCTGTTGTTGCAGCTTCTGTTATTGTAGGACTGGGATTAGTTGTTGGTGATGTTGTAGTGACCATTGTGGTTATCGATCCGACCGGGGTTACCGCAGACGTAGTATTTTGATGATATACTGTACAGAAGACAAAGGATTGATGTTTTTAAAGTTTGCTTGAATACCGCTATAATCATAGGCGCCGGAAGTGGGGGGGCAGGGGGGGCAGTTGCCCCCCCAGTCAAAAAAGTGGGGGGGCAAAACGCATTTTTGCCCCCCCAAAACGCCCCCCCCCCCCTCCAAAAAAAAAAAAAAAAAGCAGTAAAGGAATAAACATGGTTTGTATTTTTAACCCAAAAGAACATAACAATAATAAAAACCTGAATTAAAGCACATATACCATTCCATTCAAAGAAAAGGAAAGTTCACAGGAATTAAATTTTTATAAACATTGCGCATGCTACCTATACGGTTTATAATAGCGATACGCGCATATCGTGGACATATTGTGCGAGAATGGGAAAACGTGTCTGTTTTTTTGGTTTTGTTATAGGGGTGAGAAGACATGAGCCCCTGAACGCTGGCGTACTGATGGGGGGGGGGGGGTATATCTATACGATACCAGTGATTTACACATGTTGCTGTTATGACATGATTTTCCGGTATTTTTTCTCCATTTTTTTTTAAGTCATACCTTTTTATGCGTTTGTTGGAAAATAAGAAATTCCCAAATTACAGTCGGGCGAAAAATACGCTTATTTAGAAGCCTTTATGACATGGTCTGCAAAGTGGCTGGGCTCGAGCCCCTCCCCCCTCACTTTTTGAAAAAGTATGTTAAAGAGAAAAAGAAAGAAAGACGGAGAGAAAAAATAAGTGACCTGCCAATGTCACAAATAAGGCATAAAAAATGCTCATCTGACCGTAATTAAATGCCTAAAACCCCAGAGCTTACGGGTGCTCCGCCCCCGGACCCCACCAAGGGCCCTAAGGCGGGCCCCTGGATGCTCATCTGACCGTAATTAAATACCTAAAACCCCTGAGCTTCCGGGGGCTCTGCCCCCTGGACCCCACCAAGGGCTCTAAGGCGGGCCCCTGGATGCTCATCTGACCGTAATTAAATACCTAAAACCCCTGAGCTTCCGGGGGCTCTGCCCCCTGGACCCCACCAAGGGCCCTATAAGGCGGGCCCCTGGATGCTCATCTGACCATTATTAAATACCTAAAACCCCTGAGCTTCCGGGGGCTCTGCCCCCTGGACCCCACCAAGGGCCCTATAAGGCGGGCCCCTGGATGCTCATCTGACCATTATTCAATACCTAAAACCCCTGAGCTTCCGGGGGCCCTGCCCCCTGGACCCCACCAAGTGCCCTAGGGCGGCCCCTGGTTGCTCATCTGACCGTAGTTAAATACCTAAAACCCCTGAGCTTCCGGGGGCTCTGCCCCCTGGACCCCACCAAGGGCCCTATAAGGCGGGCCCCTGGATGCTCACCTGACCATTATTAAATACCTAAAACCCCTGAGCTTCCGGGGGCTCTGCCCCCTGGACCCCACCAAGGGCCCTATAAGGCGGGCCCCTGGATGCTCATCTGACCATTATTCAATACCTAAAACCCCTGAGCTTCCGGGGGCCCTGCCCCCTGGACCCCACCAAGTGCCCTAGGGCGGCCCCTGGTTGCTCATCTGACCGTAGTTAAATATTAAAACCTCTGAGCTTCTGGGGGCTCCCCCCCCCCCTCTGGAACACGTCAATGGCCTTAAAGAGGCCCCTGGATGTTCATCTAACCGTAATTAAATACCTAAAATCCCTGAGCTTCCGGGGGCTCAGCCCCTTGACACCCTGCCGAGGCTGGACCCCACGCCAATTTACGCTCTACCTGATCGTTAATACTTCACTTTGAAAAACGTTCCGCGGGACCTGCATGTAACGTGTAAGACTGGTGGTGATGCAGATTTTTCGTCTGCCCCCCCCCCTTCCGAACGTTTTTTCTCATTACGTCACTGCCCTCGGAAGGTGAGCCCCCTGGAATGTTTGCCCCCCCAATCCCAAACTGCTTCCGGCGCGCCTGGCTATAATGATAGTAACATTATGAAGCGCCTAGAACTGTTCACGTAATTAAAAAAACAAAACATGTAATCAGGGGATTATTGTTTTATTTAGGGAGAAAATTACTTCCGAAAATTGCTTGAAGTCCTGTTAAATTTTCATCAAAGGTATATATTTCGGTAAAGGGTACTTATTAGATTTTGGAACGTGGTTAGTGCAGTTACACGGAGTGAGTGTGGCAGGAGTATGTGGTGTGTTTTTGTCTGTTAAAACTCCTAGAATTTTTAAAAATCAAATCAACCCGACCCTGTTTAAGATCACGTGAAAGAAAGAAAAATTAGATCTCAGACTATCTTCCTTTGTTAAACCAGATTTTTTTGGATATTTTTTTATTTTTTAAATAATTATTTATGTTTTATTGATCGTTCATAATCACATTTTTACAAACAATCATAGGTGTAATTACAATTATAAAAAAAACTTTAAAAAAGCAAAAACAAAAACACAGCAGCAATACATGATACCATAAGATAATACAATGACAAGCTAATGTCTTAACTCAACCGCAGGGGGCTTGGAGACCAGCATAAACAACCCGATCATACAAAAAAGAAACCTGACCAGTTGACCACGGGCAGACTTCAGCGACAGGGAATAAAGACCGCTCCCCGAATCCCCTGCGGCGCATTCTTTGAGCAAGAGTTGGCAACGAATATTCAGAAACTGTCATGTATCTACATGAAAACTTCAAAGTTAGGACAAGGATGAAAAAGAGCCAATGTTTATTCTATAAACATGCAATTTGTTGTATGCACGTTATACATTCTACATTTTAAAAAAGGTTGAACATCGAATTTCCATTTTTTTTTAATGGGTGGAAAGAATGTTTCTCGTTTTGCAAGGAAATACTCAGTTTCTTTAGGTGTCTTGACAAATGATTTTAATGCAATCTTAGTTGGTAAACTGCTCTTGAATGTACAGGTGTATATAACATATTTTAAGAGAAGGAATTAATATGATACGAATCTGTCAGAAGGGATACCAAAAAGCTTTTCAAATTGGTTAAATTAAAATGTGAATCAACTTTAAGGTGAATTAAGGTTAACAATTCATTCCAAAGTGGTGTTACCTTCTCACATTCACAAAATAAATGAACTATTGTCTCTTCTTCTTTGTTACAAAAAATACAATTAGGGGAGTCTTTCCTCATGATTTTATACAAAAATGCCATCAAAGCGTTATAACAGATTTTTAACAAACTTATGCCTATTGTCACGTTTGCATTTTAATAGAAAATTAACCTTAAATCAAACAATTATGTGATTCATAAAGGGAGAGGTTACAAAAATAGAATATGTGTGTACACTATACCTGTTGCATTGTACCAGCAGATGTAAGCATGTTTTGCATCATCGCATGACAGATGATTCCACTGGCCGGCTTCTGTTCTTATCATGGCTGCGCAAACAGGGGACTCACTCCCAGAATATTCCGATGTGAAGTAGTCATAATACGCGGGTATCGTCGTGCCAAACTCTACCGATAGGTAAGTCTGTCCACTGCCGCCGTCTGAAATCTGTTGTGTTCCGATCCACACCGTGTCCAACCTGCAGAGATACAAACAGAAACGGGGTAGGTTTTCCAACTTCTATGATGTGAAAATGTGTAAGGCGTTAAACACTAAATGTAGACACTTTCGTGAAATAACTTATTAAAATAAAATTTAGATATCTTAATGCACGTATGAAGCGGTTAACCGCGGCGTTTTTAAAATAAATAATAAAGTGTGAATGAATGTCAACTGCGCGCAACAAAGGTCCTGCGCTTATTCACTGACTTCTGTTTTTACATCATTGTATATAATAATAAACACATATAGATAAAAAGTGCGAGAATTCTCAACTCTGACATGACAACGGGTGTTTCAGGATATGTATGTCCATGCCTTGAGCCATATTGCATGGCCGTCCAGAAGATTTTTTTTTAATGTTGGGGACCGGGGTAAAATGCAATAAATTATTAAAAATTTATTGCATTTATTTTTTATTTTTCATTTATGGAAACTGCCCCCTACCCTAGCCCCCGCTGCGTACAGTCATGGTTCAGTGACAAAGCAATGGCCTCGTAAATGTGAGGCCCCAGGATCAAAACCGTGTCGATGTGCTATATTATTGCCCTTTTGTGGGGCATTAATCCTCATTACTGTCATTTATGATTTAGGGGCGTAGGTCCCCTAGTTGATAAGCATAGTAGCATACACACGCAAAACACACATTGGCAAATTATTATTCAATAAAATCTGAGAATGTATACTATTGTCTAGATCTATTATTTTTAAATTATTTTTAAAATAATTCCATAAATTGGGGTAAAACAAAAAATATTCCAACTTTATGAGCGACAGTGTATATACACACAGTTATGTATGCGCGCGCGCGCGTGTGTGTGTATGTGTGTGAGTGTGTGTGCGCGCGTGCGAGTGTGCGTGTGTCCGTCTAATTATTGTATGCCCAATTTAAATTTGATATTTCCCAATCACTATCATATTTTACTACAAATTGAGCTAAATCACCCTTGTTTTGCCAATAACTGCCCCAAAATAGGTCTAACTCCTATTATAACCCCCACATTGTGCAATTATATACCGGATACGCCATGGATAACGAAAATCACACTTACTTCGAGCTTTCTTGATAGGAATGAATGAAGTCATTCAGCGCTTGGTCCTCTATGAAGGCCAATTTGGACCCCATGGCCGCACATTCCAAACTGGCATCCAGTGCTCTATGCTCGTCCATCGAAAACCAGTAGCATTCGGTGTACCAATGGGTCGTGTATGGCAACATGTTAACAGGGCAAACTTAGATGAAAAACAAAGAGTACGGAGTATTATTCTGAAAGTACAAACTATTCTGGAAACGGTTTTATCTTTTGTGTTAGGAAAAAGAGTTTAATGTTGAACAGATTAACATTGAGCGGAATTGTAAACTCTTATCGTCGCGTTAGTGCTTGTGCAGTCGTTTGTTTTAACACTACGCGTACCCTGCCGGCTTTTAGAACAATGACCTTAAGCAATGTTTTGTTCATTATGACGACTGGCATTTGTTTTACTAACATTAAAAAAAAACATCGTTTTCGGAATTCCACCCAGGATGAAATGAAGCGGAGTAGGGATATTCTTTAAAAATGCTATCTTCTGATTTGACTGAAAGCATTTTGATATAGTGACAAGCCAACTCACAAATTAAGGCACGACATTGGGGTATGACGACTGTAGTCTGGAGGTGTATGCGATCGTGGGTAGCATCTGCGAGCTAGAACACCATTGAAAAGTCACAGTTTAACCCTATTTTAACTGGGCTATTTCAGACCAGGTTTTTACTGGGGGGGGGGGGGGTCAATTTGACCCCCCCCTAAGATCTCGGCCGTTTCACCGCCGATCGCCGCGAAAATTTGCATGCATGTCAAGTGAAGTGTATAGAATACTATGGTAATTTCAAATTTTTGAAAAATTCATTCATTTGCATATTTATGGTAATTTATGCAAATAAGGTCATAAAATTCACATTTTGGCCCATAAATCATAGATTATTCATATTTAAGTATTCGTTTTCACTACATATATTTATTAGACCATTTGGAATAATAATACAACACAAAAAATTGGATGAGCCAGGTTATTCCTTATGTTATCTCATGTTTTTATAATTTCTTATGTATTTCATTGTTTTTTTAACTTATGTATTTTATTGTTTTTGTTGTTTTATTTCATTTATAACTACAATTCAACTATTTTGACCCCAAAACAAACATCTAAACTTTAAACAAGACTGAATAACCAATGTTTTATCTATTTTTAGGAAAAATGACTTTTACATATGTTTTGTACACAAATCACGAAAATGAGCGATTTTCGGGCTGACATGCAAAGACAAAAGGTCACGCGACCTTGTAACCGTAGGTCCGATTTTCAAAAAAATTGTTTTAAAAGATGCGTAAGACTCGAAAGTAAAAAGTCATGAGAGGAAAATTTTATATCTGCCGCGGTTTCGGAGAAGTCGCGAAATTTCTACAGGGGGGGTCAAATTGACCCCCCCCCCAGTTAACGTAGGGTTAAAATTCAGAAATTATCTCAAAATAAATTCATACAATAACATTTACATCATCCCGAGGACTTTGAGTGTGTACAAGGTACCTATTGTTTTTTAAAGATTTAAAGCTCATTCTGTAGATAGAAAAAAAGGGGAATGGTAACTTTGGCGAGGTTCCATCCTGTGGTGCTACGTCTGGTTTGCTTTAAAAGCGTAACTGTACACAATTGAAAATATCCTGTAAACTGTGCAAAACCTGAGAGCGTTTTATCAAATGGTGGGAAAAGGGAATTAACGAAGTTGATAAATATTGTGAATAAAATCAGCGTAAAAAGCTTTGAATAAAAATACATATATCAACAGAAATGAGAGATCGTTGGTCAGTTAAAATCCGAAAACCCATTCCACCCAAGCCCGTATTCATAATTGGGCAGTAGGCTGGTCAACAAGTATTGTTAAAATTCTCCTGTCACAAGTTTGGGCTGAAGTAAAGAATGTGAGTCAAAAGCCATTATTTGTGTTTTTTCTAATTCCAAAAGAAATCGCTCCCTTATATACATTGACTATTATTCAGTTGAAAAAAGAAGGTGTCAATAGAAAGTCTTATTACAATCAAAATGTATGGTCGAGTGGTTACGTCGCCGGACTGTCGATCACAGGGTCTGCGGTTCGATTCCCGCCGCGGCACTAATGTCTTTTGGCAAGATATTGATCTACATTTGCCACACTCAACCCAGATGATGTAAATGGGTACCTGGCAGAAATTAAGTCCTTGGAATGCTAGAGCGCTATAATGGCAACACAGCCGCTAAAGCCTGGGTAATAATCTGCAAGTTTGGAAGCGCTTAGACACTTAATTCTAATTCGCGCATATAAAAGCTGAGTATTATTATTATTATTATTATGATGATGATTACAATCTTGCCCATATCCGCACTCCCTTCGAAGGTAACACTTCTCATTGAATGATAGAAAACGGATAAGGTCTACTGTCAATTTATTTGAAATGATCAACACATGTATTCTTCGAAAATAATATCGCTAGTGATATTCGTTTGTCTCGCAATGTGGTCAACAAGGGATCTAAAAGATCACGACGTTTCGTGCGCTGCTGTAACACTTCGTCAGACAAATGAATATCACTAGCGATATTATTTTCGATACTACAACCGAAATGAGTAATATTTTAGCATATGTATTCTTTCTTTCATTTGGGTTTAGTAACCTTTGAGTTTTCATTGGCTGTTCGAGATATACACCCTATACTCCTTACACGTGTGACATGGCGCAGCGGACAAGTGAGCAAAGAACACTAAGGTATCATGAGATAAGAAGCTAGGAGGCTGTTAAAAATAATCAAAAGTTATCCTATATATTGAAACAAGGATCTGTAAAAGCCTCGATACTTTGCATCATTTCAAACAATGAGGTAAAGGAGTACGAGCCATGATTTAGCTTTTAAAAGGATTTCAGACCAAAGAAGCGAACGCATATATGGCTTGACCCACATTCATTCCATCACTCAGCGCTGTGAATAAGTATTACTTCACGTCAACCTTGCGTCAATATTTTTATTTCTCCAAAATGAAATGGTCAAATTGAAATTTGGAACAATCAGAGTATTAAACTTGGTGTAGTATATCACCACCATTATTTTTCATCAAATTTATCATTCAGGTTGTCACATAATAATAACACAATCAGACAGACCCTTACTTTTTCACAAGTAAATAAGTTCGTTAAAGGGATAGTTAACTTACCAGTGAATGGGTTTGGATCAGGTGGTTGCTGACAAATAACCCCGACCCTTACTTTTTTACAAGTAAATAAGGTTCGTTAAAGGGATAGTTAACTTACGAGTGAATGGGTTTGGATCAGGTGGTTGCTGACAAATAACCCCCTCTTCAAAATCTGAATCTTTGTCACAGGGGCATGCTACCCATTTCCCATCGTCTCGCAGCATCTTGGCACAGTCGAAGCCAGATTCGTTATCTGGTTCGTCCGATTCCCAGTTGTTGTAGGTCAGTTCCTCATTCAGCATGTAGTCGCGAAATAAATCTTCTTCATAAAGATCATTGACGCCTATCCAGTAATGACTGCATATACGGTAAGTACAAGGAACAATAGACAGTATACATGTATAAGTGAGGGCGCTAATAACAATTATAAGATAATGACGTGGATCCTAGTCAAATGATTGATTGAAAGCGTACACGTGACCAAGCATTTATTTTGCCTAACGCGTAATTTGGATAATGACCGGTCATTATCAAAATCATGTTATAAAACATCACTTTATAAAACAAATAAAACATAATGTTATAAAACAAATAAAACAAAACTTTATGAAACAAATAATACACATCATTTTGTTCGGGCATTAGTAAAATTACCCAGTACATTCAAAACATTCCAAACACCATCGGCTATCGCCTCGGGCGTGTTAGACTGTTCCAAATGCACCTTGTGTGGGTAACTCTTACTAATGCCCTCACTCACTGCTGTGTATTATGTGTATACTATTAACAAGCTGTACCTTTGGAACAGTCTGAACCTAAACAACTCAATGCATTAGCCGAAGGTGTTTGGACTGTTTCGAACGTACCGAGGGTGGATGATTATACTAAAGCCTGAAAAAATGATATCATAACATTGTGGCAGGAATATGTCATTTTACAAAGAAAGACGTACGAGAAAAAAATGCTAAATAATGGTCGTATGAAAGTGCTAAGGACCAATCATTTGATGAGGATCCAAGTCATCATTTGATAAAAACAGAATGAATGGCCACCAACGACCGGATGGTAAATGGGAACCTATCCAATATGTTGCAACCGTCAATGTGGTGGGATAAGAATTTCCAACGAAATTTTCTCTCATTTTTCATGCTTTTTTAATTAGTGTAAAGTCTGCTTACTTTTTTAGACAAAGTTTGGCGAATGTGCTACACACAGAGAAAAGAGGTTTGAATTTAATCCCTATAGGGAGTAAATGCTTGTCGCATAAGAGACACCCCTCAGGCAGTAAATTTACTCCCCAATGTAGGGAGCAAATTTACGACCCACAAGAAGGTATAAATGTGGACCCCAAGGTAATGATTTGACTCCCTTGAAGTAGTGAAATTTGCACCCAATGGTGCTTAATAAATACCTTTTGGTTCAATTTGCATGAAAAATGGGTTCAAATTTACACCCCGTGGGGTTGAATTTTATACCCTATATGATCGATTCCACAACACCCTGTGGGAGTAAATCTACACCCTAAGGGCAGGAATTTACAGAAAATAGATATGTGGGACTACAGTGCGACTCTCTTTTGGCACCATAGGGTTTAGGGTTAGGGCTGAAGGAACAGGGGAAACAGGAACGCCCAGTTAAGAGTTGGATGAAAATCCCGTTAAAATTCACGTTGAAAACTTTGAAACTTGAAAAACAAGATTCCTAGCTTCCTGAGCCGAAGCTGAGATTTGCGGCACACGTGGAATACACCCTGGAAATGTACATCGCGCCGACATGGCAGCATTTTGCAAAACGCGGTCATATATTGACCAATCAGAGCTCGTCTGACTAAAATAGGGTGTAAAATTACATCCCTCAAATGACTTTTCTGTTCACCCTTGTGTATTTCCGTGTTTTACTCACTAAAAGGTGTAATAAGGGGCTTCCTATTTTTCCAATTTCGTTTTACTCCCCAGGAACACCTTTTATTTCTCTGTGTGTAGATGTGGTAAAATTGACCCGAATTATTGACGGGTCTGTTTCTGGCGGGGAACCCTAGGGGCTGAACCTGACAGCTTGACGTTAATAGTCTTATAGCTTTACTTTCAACAAGTAGTAACTTCTTGCTTTCAACTAGTACTTAAATAGTATAAGTGCTTGTCAAGGGATCATTGGTCAATGAGCAAGTTCTTAGATAAAATCTTCGCATGGGCTTATAGCATATAGGTCATTTGTACAAAAAGACGAATACTGGTTTCGTGCTCATCAAAGTTATGTTATTCATTATTCATGCATGGAACAAAGCAAACAAAAGGTATAAATGCATGAAGCACCTTCATCACTTTGGTATTAATTTGTCTAAACTGCGAAAAGTGGGGCGTGTCCATGTGAAAAAGATCTGTGGATATTTGTGGGTGATCTTTGTTATATGTGTGTATGTGTGTGTGTTCGTTGTGTTTGTGTGTCTGTGTATATACATGTATATATATATATATATATATATATATATATAATACTATAATGCATACTATGAATACTATTATGCAAACCTCTTAGTTCCTTCGGTGGTTAGGAGGTCGTGAATAAATGTGTTTTCATCGCCAGTGAAGATAGATGGTACATCTCCACCGTAGTCGTTTCGGCATACCAGTCGAGCATCCTCGATTTTGTCTTTATTCTTTTTGTGGACATGGTAGCAAAAGCCGGTATGTGGACTCAAGGATCCTTCAGAACAAAATTGTCCGTCTATAATTAAATTCGAGTAAGGAATGCATATCAATTTTACACATTTTTTAATGTGATTTCATTTTATTTCATTACAACTTGGTGACAATTAGATCAATGATGACGATTGAGGACATACTTAATAATAATAATACTAACACTAATAATAATGACACTAATAACATAATAATGATGACGATGATTGATGGTGATCACTATCATCATCCACATAATAAAGTTAAAATCAATAATGAATGAAACAACAGATGTTCAAAATGAATTCTCATGCGCATATATCCATCACAAGATTAGTGATGATAAGGTGCTTACAAGGTAGAACTATTGCATTTACTTTAACCCCGATTTTAACCTAGCCGTCCTAATGTTCACAAAGCATGTCCTACACTCGAGATAAGACTGACAAATGTAAATGTCTTTCCAAAATTATGGTTACAAAATATAAAACGATAACTGAACCCTAACTGAACCGTCAAAGAAACTGTAGCTTGATTAAGGACATAATTCTTGAAATAATAGTTTAGCAAAATTAACCTACGGTCACGTGGTAATGATATTCAAATAATGAGGGAGGAAAAACTTTTAGCCAAATTATATTCAATCAAATAATAAATTTATCAAATGCAATTGTTTATCATACTCACGGACGTCCGTGGCACAAAAAAATCCACCCAGGAGGATAGCAATACAAACTATCAACGTCATATTCTCCTTTCAAATATTCAATATGTCATATTGAATTAGCTTCAGTTGCTTGAAAATGTTAGGATACGCTGTACAGCAAACGGAAATTCATCATCCATTCTAGGTGATTGGGAGAAAATTAAATGAAAGAATTCACATCCTCCTTTACAGTTTTGTCCACTCTTTGCCTTCTACTTAATTTCAACGTTCAGTCTCGAGAGAGTAATGCTTTCGACCGTATCGTCATGGTTACAGCGTAAATATTATGCAGACGTTTCATATTTTGATGAAAAACCGATACGAATAATCGACCAGTATCGATCAACCTTGCCAATGACACTTAATTCATACGTCAGTGTATTTGCGACCGAAGTAGGTCAAGTAAGTCGTCAAAGACATATTAAAGAGATGGATGAGTTCTGGGAAAGGTGATGACACAATTTATGATTTTTTTTCTTTATTATTTAGATGTCAGTTTGGAAGAGTAGGTCTATCATTAAGGAAATATTGCCTTTAAAAAAAAGAATGGGTCGTCAAATACTCTCGAATTCGAATTTTGACAAATAACGTTCAGGTAAAGGTTGTGCACTTTCAAGCCACGCGTTTGTGTAGTCCCATTTACACATTTCTGTGTACAGTACTTCAGTTAATGTGACCTCTAACAAAACAGGGCCAATTTCTTATCATTTTAAACCAAAACATCACAGTTTACACCAATTATCTGCTACATCCAATCGCTCCCATACATTCTTTTCACAACGCAGTCGCATGACTAGAACTCAAATTTATCTTTAACATTATGTGCGTGTGCTTGATGTATCGACCAGTCTTAGACTAATTAATTTTCTTTTCAAGAAATGATGAGGAAAGCAACATCTGTTGGCAGATTAGGACGTAGTCCAGTAAATTCATTTGTATACCTTCATTTGCCTTTCATCTTTCACTTGCTTTTTGTGACGAATAGAGAGAGATAGAGAGAGAGAGAGAGAGAGAGAGAAAGAGAGAAAGAGAAATAGAGATGGAGAGGGAGCGAAAAACAATGATGTAAATCGAAAGAAAACTACATGTATAAAAAAAAGGAGAGTAAAACGTTACTCAACATTTTTATTATGACCTTTAGAAATCCCACAAGACTCACGATCAAGATAGAGCGAGAAAGAGAGAGAGAGAGAGAGTAAGTGAGAGAGCGAGTGTGTGTGTGTGTGTGTGTGTGCGTGTGTGTGAGTGTGTATCAGAGAGAGAGAGAGAGAGTGTGTGTGTATGTGTGGGTGTGTGTGTGTGTGCGTGTGTGTGAGTGTGTATCAGAGAGAGAGAGAGAGAGTGTGTGTGTATGTGTGTGTGAATGTATGTGCGTGTGTGTGCATGTGGGAGAGAGAGAGTGAGAATTTAATACAAATGGCCAAGGGAGAGAAAAATTTAAATGAAAGAGGGATAATTTGACAAAGCTTTATTGTTTTGTTGGTTCATAATTTGATATATATGCTCAAAGAGAGAAAAAAAAAGATTTTATTCAAATAGAATGATTCGTTAATCCTTTGTCAAGAAATCGGCTTACGACATTCTGGAAACTAATAAAGTAATTTTGAATAACTGTAGTAAATTGGATTTTTGGAGCTTATATCATTAGAAAAGTAAACTGAGACATATTAATTCTTTATTCAAATCAAATGAAACAGGGAGAATTGTTACAATCTATATGATAACAGAGATTTTTCCTCGCTTCTAAATTTTAGAAAATGTAACTGCCAGGTGTTCGGTGCGATAGATCTAACTGAATCTTAAAGTTCGAACCGTTCGAAACACCGAGGGAAACAGAAGGCGACAGAGGTAATATAAAGTACAAAGTTGCCCTTAAAGTTGGAATATTTCTTTTAACCCCTTTTCATGAAATAATTATGACGATATGATTCATTCTTGATAAGTTTATATTATATGTATATTCGTAAGTGTAATCTTATTAGAACTTGAATGATCAATCTAAAGAGTCATAGAGATTGATCCGAAAGGTTCTGAGAAGATACAATTTATGAATCAATATAAAACCATCTTGTCAAATTCAATTCATAAAAAGGGGTCAAAATAAATTATTCCATTTGTATTCGTAACATTGTATGTATGAAAGGATTTAAGAAGCATGTAACAAAAAGAAATATAAATATTAGAAGGGGAGGCTGAAATGTTATGTGAAAAATAGGAAGGATAAACCTCAGTATTCAAACAAGCATCATGCATATCAGCCGTCCAATTCATATCTCAAGAAACCCCTCTCTCGTTCATCTCTTCAATCAATTTCATTCACAAAATCAGACAAATCAACCACTTCGTTTCATTCATCAATAATTGTCCTTGAATTCAATGTAATATATGAACCAATTCATTAACAATTTAACAAATATTTAATTTAGTTATCGCAATCCTTTCTTAAAAAGATTGATTATCAATTCATCATTTTCATTCACATATATCATTAAACAATAGTATTAAAGTAGTCAATTGGTTAAGGTTCATTCATGAGTGAACAGTGAGATACTAACAGTTTTGCCATCAATATGGCATTAAAGATCATAAGAAAGTTTTGCTATTACACGTAAATCGGGCCAATATTTTTTCTTAAATAAATCTAGCAAACCCTAAATATATATCTTTTTTGTGTAACAAATATCTTACTTAGGGAGAGAAGAATTTATTAATTTCAGTAACTTTATGATGATGAAACGGTAGTAATTGAGAAGAATAACATTTTACAAGTTGAAACAGTAAATATGTCAAATTATCTAAGCATTGTTACTTATTAATAGGTTTTCCCAACAACAGAACTTCCATCATAAAATTGCGCTGAGTCTGTACAGTTTTAAAGATAAACTCCAGTTCTGGTAAAAAAAAAATTAATTCTCTCAGAATCAAACGAAACTTACACTGAATGTTCAAGATTACAAATAAATGACATGTGCCAAACAATTTTGGAAGGAAATTTATATACTGGCTGAGTAATGAACATAGAAAGACAAGGAAATCAGGGTAGTACTAGCCCCGACACCATGTGTGTTGTCCAATATATAGCTTTCTGTTTACAGTGCTTGTTACTTTACCAAGACTCGGCTAAATTTATGATGATTTTGATAACTCTAGAACCTTGCAGTGCACACCAATACTTACATGCTATATGATCAACTGTTTCTGATCCATTCCACACCTTTTCTTTCACAATGCAATCGCATTACCAGAACTCACCTTTATCTTTAAGGAAGTAAATTCGAGAAAATACCTTCCATGAATTTTACAACTATATGTTATGAAGGGGAAAATAGTATTTTTTAAAGGAAATATATCCAAATACAATTGTATTTATTATTACTATTTTTGTATCTTCAAAATGTCATCTAATCACTTCATAAAAGATAACATAGTCTTCCTCATGCAATATATGTAAACAAACAAACTAAATCTTGATCATAATTACAATTCCTAAACGACATCACTGTCAGGACTGTATTCCAATGCATTTACTTGTATATGTACATTCTCTCCTATAACTTCACATATTATTTCGTCTGTCATCCCTCTTGTATCCCAATACAAACAAATAACACAATAATACACTTCAATAATTGTGTGATAGCCTGACAACGACTACTGGGAGCCGGCTGTTTATTCAATATGAATGTTTAAAAAAACATTTCTTCTCGTTTCCTTCAGGAAACACGACCGACCATGGTCCAGGATTAAAAACCAGAGGTAAAACTCTACGAGAATAAAAACTCTGGAAAACCTTAACAATAATAATAATAATATTTAGATTTAATATAGCGCTTAATACAATGTCTCTAAACGCTTTACAAATATACTATTACCCCGGTCATCGGATTCAGTGCTTGCCCGCACACACTGTGTGCATAGTCTCCACTCCTTGAGGAGCATTCCAGCCAGGCGTTACTTGACGCTCAAAAACTGTTTGAACAACAATGACGGTCGCATCCTACCGGGTACCCATTTAACACCTGGGTGGAAAGTAGCAAGTGCAGGTTAATATCTTGCCAAAGGATATTAGTGCCGTGTCGGGATTCGAACCCTCGACCTTCGCATCTCTAGTCAAGCGCCTTAAACCACTCGACCATGACACTCGACTCTCGACCACTTAAGACCCATGTCATAACATAACATAACACATCGCACTTTCATTGTAAATAAAACTTGTCTCGTTGAAAGCTCAAGCTAGAACGATTCATTTACATGTACCAATTGATGCCAGATAGCACAACTGTACGAGCTGCCTATGTAAATTAAATTTCATCGGGGCAACGGCCCCTTACCCAACATAAGTATGCATTCATTACGATACAAACAACATTTGCCAGCTATACAATAGTACCGCAGACAAATAATATTCTTATGCACATGGTCAGCATTTTGAGCTCAATTTCCTGATTTGTTTCCTGCAAATTAACTATTTGATACTATGTAATTTTCAGATATATATACTATAATTTGGAACATTCACAATAAATGTCACGATTTCCTCGATTTTAATTCATTTTTGCATTCAATCGGTTGCTTTTTTCGCCTCTCTGCGCGGTCGCTCGTTTGCCACACGTGCAATTTCACACACACAAAATTAAATAGGCACCAATTGATGGAAGGACTGCTTTGTGCAACACAATGGCTTGGCAAAATGATTCAAAATTTCCTAGTCTTCATTAGCTTGACAACCCTGTTAACAACGGTATGGAATAATCTCGCACTTGTAACAATATAGATAATCTTGAAGTCTTTGGTATCTATCCCATGACGAATACCATGTGGAACAGGGAGATTCTTTGTGTGGCACATAAAGAGATATTGGCCCGAATTCACAAAGGAGGTTTGTCGACAAACCTCCTTTTGTTTTTTACAAACCAGGTTTGTAAAAAAAAAACGCGTCAAAACGCGTCATGTGACGTACATAAACCTCGGTTTGTCGACAAACCTCCTTCGTGAATTCGGACCATTAAGTTTGTTTTCCTTTAAAAAGTTCCGAGAAACCCGCGTATCATACGAACGGGTTTGTCAGGATGGTGCCGAATAAGAAATAACAGAATTCGGTAACCTGGTATAGTATCATATTAATCATAATGTAAATAAAAGCCCTGACAAAAATACAGGGACACAAACAAAAAAATTAAGATCAAAGAAAGAGGTGAATGATTTTTTATAATTGAAGTTCATACTAACAAAACCAAAATTGGTGATAATAATCAAAATTGACTGATTGCCAGTGACTGATTGCCATATAATACTGAAGTGAACAACAACAACTTGAACAAATCAACTGTTCTTTAATATTCCATTGATATATCAGAAGACTTACAGCAAACGGGGAATATGATTCCAAAATGAAGTACCTTAAATATCACACATATTCCCCTTTCATATTATTCCAGCTGACATGAAACCTGATTATCCTGATCAATCAATTATTTGAAGACAACGTATCTCATGTATAAGGTTTTCATTTTTAAGGCAGATTCTAACCCTGGCCGAAACAAATCAATAAAACATAATAAAACAATGTTTGTAATATATTTATTTAAAATTGATAACGGGATAACATGCTTAAATAAAACGACGAATAACAACTTCAGAACAACAGATTATCATAAAATTTATTTTTTAAATTGTCACGACAGATGTTGTCAATGATTTACGAAGGGTTTCAAAGTAATTTGTAGGCTTTCCAAATATCTTCTCGAACGACCAAGATGCATCGAAGTCATGTATATCTTGTTGAATATTCTGTTGTTCTTTTCCTTCTTAAGATTCGGATGTAAAAAATTAATAGTATATTAAATATATCGATATTCTGATAATATTCAGATCGCCCACAATACACTAGATACCGAATATGTTTTGTATTTACTTCAAATTACACGCGTTATTTATTCATTTTACAGAAACCAAACATCAATTGACAAACAAGTGTAGAACTAACACTTGATAGGCAATTTATGCGGCATACATTTTTTTAATTTTTAGAAATAACTTTTAAAACAGCTGAATTTGATATGTTGAGGTCATTCCCGGTGATCTCGGTCATCTCGGAGCCCGTTCTGGTGACATGTCGAAGATGGCGTCCTGTAATGGGAGTTCTCGACGACGCGACGATGAGGAGATACAACAGGCTTCCGCAGCGCTTTCAGACCTTGAGACAGGCAGGACAACTGGAATGTCGGACTTCTAGAACCAACGGGAACTGTATTTCAGATACCTCCTGGAGACTGCATCATTAACCTGTGAGCACTCTGTAGAAAAATAAAAATAACAACGCAGCCTCTGGTGTTTCGCCAGGGCGTTTTACGAAGGGAAAAAAGGAGAACTGAGGTTATCGCTTACCCTGCAATGACCAGGTGCGCGTGCGCGCGTTACGATCGCTCACAGTTTGAAAGGTACAACAGAAAAACGACAACACAGACCAAACAACACATTCAACAGACACATCGTGTACTACAGGACTTGCCTTACCGACATGTATACCTACCTGTTTCCTCTGTAGACATTCTGACTGTTGGTGTTGTTTCTGACGTTGTTGGTGTGGGTTCTGTAGGTGTCGTGGCAGATGTTGTAGACCCCTCAGAAGAAGATCCCTCCTGTGTGGTACTTTGACTGGTAGTGCTCTCTGTTGTAGTCGATTGTGATGTGATGACATTTGTTGTTGGTGTGGTTAGCGGCAACGTTGTTGTGGACTCTGCTGTGGAAGGGCTGGTAGTAAGTTTGGTAGTGGTGGTGGACAGAGTCGTTATACCTTCTGTTGTTGTGGGGCTGTGAGTAGTGGTTGGTGTAGTATTTGGCACTGTCGTTGTCGCTTCTGATGTTGTAGGTTCTGTTGTTGTAGGGATGTGTGTAGTGTTTGGTGTAGTAGTGGGCAGTGTTGTTGTCGCTTCTGTTGTAGGACTAGGAGTTGTTGGTGAAGTCGTAGTAGGAATAGTTGTAGCTTCTGTTGTTGCGGCTTCTGTTGTTGTAGGACTGGGAGTAGTTGTTGGTGTTGTAGTAGGAATAGTTGTAGCTTGTGTTGTTGCGGCTTCTGTTGTTGTAGGACTGGGAGTAGTTGTTGGTGTTGTAGTAGGAATAGTTGTAGCTTCTGTTGTTGTAGGACTGGGAGTAGTTGTTGGTGTTGTAGTGGCCATTGTGGTTGTCGATCCAACCGTAGTTGCTGCAGACGTAGTATTTTGATTTGATACTGTACATAAAAGAGAAGGTTAATGTCTAGAAAGTTTGCTGGAATATCGCTATTATAATAGTAACATTACGAAGCACCTAGAATTATTAATGCACTATATGAATATAAAAAAAAATCTTCTCATTATCGTTATTGTTATTGTGATCATTATTGGTGTTGATTTTATTTCTATTTAAACAAAAGTATATTATTATTTTTTTAATTTATGGATATTCCTATTATTATCGTAATTATTCTTATCATCATTTTTACTATTATCATTATTATTGTTATCGTTATTATTCTCATTATCATTATTTGTTTTCTCTGGCCCTGTGCATTTGAAATCTAGTTGAAATCTCTCTAGTTCAATCGGAGGATCATGTATTAAACATGTGATCAGGGGATTTGTTTATGTTTAGGAAATAGATTACTTCCTTCAGGGTGATCCGACATTTGCCCTAGTGACAATTGCTTACAACCTTTTAAAATAAAATGTTCATCAAAGGTACTATAGTTTGGGTCCCGCCCCCCCTCCCCCCCCCTCCCCCCCCCCCCCCTCCCCCCCCCCCCCCCCCTCCCCCCACTCCGGGGTTGGAATGACCGCATGCGTGTTACCAAAATGTCCGGTAAAGGGGTACTTTTCGTGCCACAAAGTCCGGCCCGAAAATTGTAAAACATAGGGGTGTATTTGACTTTTCACCCGGAGATTTCTTTAAAAAGGGGTGATTTTTTTTTTCTTCTCTCATCTCTTTGGACTCCTGAGAAATTATTCCGAATTTAAGGGGGTATATTGAGCATTTTTCTTGATTTAGGGGGGTCTCCAAGGCAGGAAAACCCCACGAAAGGGGGGTTCGGAAATGTTGGCAGTCCTCAGATAGAGGGTGCTTTCAAAAAGAGGGAACAAGCATGTACGTACCCTAAATAACACTGAGTGGGGGCCGGGAGTTTGGGTAAGGATATATCTATTAGTTGTAGGTGAAGTTTGAAGTTACGGTTTTGGCTAATTCAGATATGACGTGGTAAACCGAGAGGAAAGGAGAGGGGTGGAAGAAAGTGAAAAAATGAGGGAAAAGAACCGCCGCGGTTTTTTGTTTTGTTAATAAACGTGTAAATGAACGGCAATCACGCGCTGCAAGGTTCCCAGTGTCACGTTTAAATTTTATTAGAAAATTACCCATGTGATCCATAAAGGGAGGGGTAGAAAAAAAAATATTTGTACACTATACCTGTCGCATTGTACCGGCAGATGTAAGGGTGTTTAACATCTTCGCAGGACAGGTGATTCCACTGGCCGGCTTCTGCTCTGATCATGGCTGCGCAAACAGGAGACTCACCCCCAGAATATTCGGAGATGTAGTTGTCATAATACGCGGTTGTCGTCGTGCCAAACTCCACCGATTGGTAAAATTGTCCACTGCCGTCTAAAATCTGTTGTGTTCCAATCCACATTGTATCAAACCTGCAGAGAAAATAAAAATAAACGGGTAACGTTTCCAACTCTGGTGATATGTCAGGCGCATAACACGATTGTAAACACTTTTGAGAAATAAACTTAAGCGTAGTTGAAGCAATAAACTGCGGCGGATTTTTATTATATACAAAAAAAGTGTGAATAAAAGTCAAATGCTCGCAATAAACGTCCTGCGAGCGTTCACCGACCTCTGTGTTTATGTCATTTTTTTAATTTAAAAAAAACACACACATATATGTCCAATTTCGATTTTACATTTACCAATCACTGTCATATTTCACTACAAATGGAGTACAGATTACCTATGTTTTACCAATAACTGCCCTACGATTGGTCAAACTCGTTGTAGCCCCCTTGTTGTGCAATTTTTCACTCGACTTTTTATTTTACATGATTGTGTTGTGCTTTACTTCTCTCAATGCTTAGGTAGCCCCCATAGGCCTATATAGTCCTACTGCAGGTTTATAACTCTCGTCGACTTTCAAAGGTGGGGAGGGGTCGTCCTTTAGCTACAAAATATACCAGATACGCCATTGATAATTCTCACACTTACTCTAAGCTTTGTTGATAGGAATGAATAAAGTCATTCAGCGTTTGGTCCTCTATGAAGGCCAACTTGGACCCCATGGCCGCACATTCCAAACTGGCATCCAGTGCTCTATACTCTTTCATCGAAATCCAGTAGCACTCGGTGTACCAAGGGGTCGTGTATGACAACATGTTGGCAGGGCAAACTGAGATGGAAAGCAAAGAGTTCGGCATGTTATTTCTGAAAGTGCAAACTATTCTGAAAACGGTGTTATCTTTTATGTCAGGAAAACGAGTTTAATGTTAAGAAGGTTTACAAAGAACAGAATTGTAAACCGTTGCGTTGGTGCTTGTGCAGTTGTCTGTTTAAAACTGGTAGCTTCTAATCAAAAAGTTATATCATTTCTGACATTGAATCATATTTTCATGGTAAAGGGTAACTAATACCATGTCTACTGATTATATTCATAATTGTGCTGCCACGGATGACTGAGCAGCAGGCTTTTCAAAAAAGTGTTGTCAAAATCCTCTTGTAACATGTTTGGGCTGAAGCAATGAACGTGGGTCAAAAGCCATTATATGTGTTTTATCTGATTCTTAATTATATCGATCTCTTAATAAATTGAATATCATGCAGGTGAAATGAAAAGGTGTTGATAATAACTTAAATTGAAGGAACTGCTTATTACAATTAAAATTTATAATATTCTCTTTGTTATAATGTTGACAATCTTAACTGTATTCACACCTTTGAAGGTAACCCTTCTCATTGAATGATAGAAAAAAAATTTATGAAAGTCTACAGTCAATTTCTTTGATGTTTATCGTCATATGTATTTTCATGTTTATTTGGGTTAAGTAACCTGTGATTTTTCATTCGTTACTCGAGATAAACACCGTATGCTCCTTAGACGTGTGAAATGGCGCAACGGAAAAAGTGAGCAGAGAGAACTGAGATATCATGACATAAAGAAGTTAGTAGGATGGTCAAAAATAATTAAAGGTTAACCTATGCGCTGCAAAAGCCTAGATACCTTGCATTATTTTAAACAATAGAGTAAAGAAGCACGTGCCATAATTTATTTTTAAGATGATTTAAGACCAAAGAAGCGAATGCATACGGCTTGATCTACAGGCGTTATATCACTCCAAACATGGTACAGGGCGATTTTAACAACACTTATTAAAGACCCTGGTGCTCAGTCACCCGTTGCAGAAATATTAAAAATATGGTGTCATTGGATTGAAAAAAATTTACTCGTGATCATGAAATAAACTTGTATTTAAAGTTCATATTGTTAATGGTTTTTCAATTGAGACCTACCTACCAAAGTTGGGTAGACTTTTTATACACACTGTACAGCCCTCCAAATGATGAAACAGCACATTTTAGTTTTTAGAGTGTACATATTGAAATGATCCAACATAAGAACAAGAATCTCCAAAAGTTAATTGAGGATTAACTTTCAAAGATTCCTGTTTACGCCCTTGGTAATGATAGTCATTACAAAGGGCATAGGCAGGATTCTTTGAAAGTGGGCATCGCTTACTTTTTTTAATAGACGTGTATACAGATCGGGCACTGATTTATACAAGTCTATTAAAAAAGCAATAATTATGAATAATAATGTTGTTTGTCGTCTTCCACATACGAAGGCTAGACCGCGCTGGGATTGAAGGGATCGTTTAACAATGTTAAATCTGAGATACACGGTCCTATATGTTACCAATGTTTGTGATACGGTGTAATATTGAAGCCCTAAAAATAATCGCGCTTCAAAATGATCAAGAAGTGCCTCAAAAAAGTAAAAAATCTTTGAGTGACCGGTTTTACCATACTCGTTTTCCCCAATAGACTGTAGTGTTATGAAAACCGTTCGGCGAACGGTTTTCAAAATTTGTAATTCCAATCATTAATATCTTGATAATCAGACAGGCGATCGGCTTGTAAAAGTCATGGGGTTCCTGACTGACCTAAAGGTTTATAATTATCATTGCAGCATGAGCTAAATCAAGGATTATTTCTAAAGGATCTAAGACAAAGTTACCGGATCCCTTTAAGTATAAAGTCACGTCAACCTTGCGTCAATAAAGCGGCATAACGCATGACGTCACGTTCATATCTCCAAATTGGCATAGTCAAATTGAAACTTGGTACAATAAGAGTATTAAAGGGAAAGTCCACCCCCAAAATAAGTTTGTTTCGATAGAGGCAGCATAATAAGAAAATCAGGTGAGTGAAAGTTTGAGCAAATTCTGAATGAAAATAAGAAAGTTATGAATTATTGAAGTTGTGATCAATCAAATACAAATTGGCAACTCTGTGACTTATTATACGAGCTCTCCTTCATTTGCTTTGTGCATAATATTCCATAAAATCATGTTTTCTTCGTTATTGATGACGGAATATATATTTGTTCCTTGCAGGGGGAGTATAGAAACATATTTGCAATTATTATATTTAGGGTGCATGTATGGTTGAAATTTTTCTTGAGGGAAAATGAAAATTTTAGATTTTTTTAGTACTGAGCAAATGGAAGTTGAGCTCGCATGATACGTCATAGAGTTGCCAATTTGTGTTTGATTGATCACAACTTCAAAAATCCTAACTTCCTTTAATATTTTTAATCGGAATTTGCTCAAACTTTCACTGACTTGTTTCTCTCATTTTTCTACTCCTATTAAAACTAACTTAATTTAAGGGTGGACTTCCCCTTTAAACTTGGTCTAGTAAATCATCACCATAATTTAACATCACCACCACCACCATGTCTATCATCTTCATCATTCTCGTTGACACATAACAACGTGACAAAATAAAACAGACCACCTCGTATTTGGTCACAAGTATATATACACGTCTCGTTAAAGGAATAGATAACTTACGAGTGAATGGGTTGGGATTAGGTGGTTGCTGACAAATAACCCCCGCGGCAAATATGGTAAATGTTGTACAGGTGAAGTCTGTCCATTCCCCATCGGCTCGCTGCATCACGGCGCAGTCGGAGCCAAAGGCGTTATCTGGTTCGTCTGATTTCCAGTTGTCGTAGGTCAGTACCTCGTTCAGCATGACGTCGCGAAATAAATCTTCTTCATAAAGATCGTTGACGCCTATCCAGTAATTGCTGCATGCCATACACGGTAAATACAAAGAATAGTAGACAGTATATTATTGAGGGCGTTAGTAAGAACTATTCACAAGCTGTACCTTTGGAACAGTCTGGACAACCGAAGCATTAGCCTCAGGTGTTTGGACTGTTTCGATTATTATTGTCAGGGGCGGATCTAGCTTTTTTGCCAGGGGGGGGGGGGGGGGGGGGGGGGGGGTTTTATCCAGTGGCGGATCAAGGATTTTCCGAAAATCTCTCCGACCGATATTTCACCTAGTGGGGGAGGGGGGGAGTGAGCCCTAAAAAAAAAAAAAAAAAAAAAAAACATTTGTCCCCGATATTTCAATTAATTAAAAAAATGTTTTACTTTTATTTTCATTTTCCCCCCTTTTCACATGGCCGCCCAGGGGGGGGGGGGGGGGTTAAACCACCGACCCCCCCCCCCCCCCCCCTAGATCTGCCCCTGATTGTATCGCCTGAAAAATGATATGCTGATTTGTTTCATAACATCGTGGCAGGAATCTAGCTGTCATTTTATAAATTACTCCCATTCCATATTTTGTAGATCTAGAAGCAACTTCTATACAAAGAAAGACGTAACAGAAAGAAATGATAGTAAGGACTTTTAGATTGAGGGGACGAGAACACGACGAACGCCGACTGATCATGCGTGTCAACGTACTCAACTGCCCATGTTGACTACAATTAGAAATATTTTAGATCAGGCCTTCTCAACTAGTTTATTAGAAGTGCCAAAACGAAAAGAATTTGTAGTTGAAGTGCCACCCTGTATGGTTGACTGTGCTGCGAGGGAGCGTAGCGAAAATGGGTAGGGTCCAGGGGCGAAGCCCTAACGGGGGTAGCAGGGGGCAGATTTAGGGCTTTCTAAAGGCCCAAATGGGGCATTTTAACACCATTTCATTCCACAATATAATCAATCATAACTTCATATTGATGTGAAAAAATTAGTACAATTCCTAGGTACAATTACGCTGGAGGTATATTTATTTGTAGTTTTTTGTGTGCAATAAACACGGCAAATGTCGAAATAAAGGGAAAATCAAACAAACAAAAACAAGATGTTTCCAGAGATTGGCAATGTTAAAATTGGTATCCAATCGTAAGCTAATTGTTGTTCAGATCTTAGGTTTAGATTCGTATAAAATGGTAAAAAAACCGATAAATTCCCGTTTCTTCCTGTTTGTTAAGCAGGCATTTCGGGCTCAAATTTGACTGCAACTTCTTGATGTAGCTGAGCATTTATTTCTAAAATATATATTTTCTTTCTCTCTTTCTGTTTTTTGTTTTGTTGTTGCAACAGTCGCGCGTCACTCCGACTGACCGCAAGCGCCACAAGTGGCGCGCGCGCCGCCAGTTGAGAAGGCCTGTTTTAGATTGCACTCGACGATATACATGCATGTAGGAAGTAACACTATGAACATGACGGACAAAGAAAGAGGAGAGTAAAGTCCCAGGACAAATATACAGTTCCTCATTTTACCCTCAACAATTGCTGTGGTAGACAAGGAACTGAGGAACTGTATATTTTATGCGCGCGAGGCATACTAGTACCCTGCTAGTACCGTACTAGATTTAGGAAAATCAAGGTTGACGCATTCTCGATCGCCGACCGAGACGACGTGACGCATGCGCAGTGCCTTAAAATGACATCACACGTTGCAGTCAAAGCTGTCGACGTGCAAATCTAAGGTCCCTAATGACCGGTCGTGGTGCTGAAGACCGGTATACAATATACTGCTGGCCACATGTCCGCTCTCAACCAATCATTTGATTAGTATCCAAGTCATCATTTTATAAAACAGTAACCATATACATGCAATACATAGCAGCTAAGAAATTAGTAAGAATTAACCAGACCAGGTACCTTTGGAACAGTCTAAAAAACCCGAGGCGATAGCAATAATTTTATTTTATTTTTTGCCTTCCTCCCCCCTGAAATTTGACAATCGCGCCAACCGATATTTCGCTCAGTTGGGGGGGGGGGGTTAATCTGTTGACTACTGAATTCTTTCATTGCCATAGGCTCAATACATGGGCCACCAGGTTCCAGTAAGCAATGGGTTAAGTAGCATTATTTGTATTTGTTCTACTAAGCACCCCCCCCCCCCCCCTCCCCTGCGTACGCGCCTGCATATATATATATCAAAGATTGATGCTTCGGCGACAATTTCATCTGGAATTATGTCTCCAACGTAGAACATGTACAAAATAATGTATATGATGTGAGGATGCAGAACTTTAAATTTTCGATGGCCTCTCTTTAGAAATCGTAAGCGTGAGTGATGATGAGACAAAGGACGTAGCTGAACTCCAACTTAATTGCAGGGGCGGATCTAGCTTTTTGCCAAGGGGGGGGGGGGGGGGAGTTGGTCCCGGAAATTGGAAAATTATGCCGACAGGTGTTTGGTTCGGTGGAGGGGGGGGGGGGGTAAGGTCAGTTTTTTCTCACCCTTTAGCACAATTTTTTTTCAACACATATAAATAAATTAAGTGGAGAGGGGGTTAACCCCCCCCCTCTACGTACGCGCCTGTAACAAACTACTATGCATACCTCTCACTCCCTTCGTTACTAAGGAGGTCGTGAATAAATGCGTTTTCATCGCCAGTGAAGATAGATGGTATATCTCCACCGTAGTCGTTTCGGCATGTCAGTCGGGCATCCTCGATTTTGGCTTTTTTCTCGGCATGGACATGGTAGCAAAATCCGGTATGTGGACTCAGGGATCCTTCAGAACAAAATTGTCCGTCTGTAATCATATTGGAGTAAAGAATGGATATACATTTCACACATGTTTGATGTGATGTGATTTTATTTCATTTTGTTTTTATTTCGTTTCTGATCAGTTCATTCAATCTCAATTCATGTCAAGACAAATTGGTGACAATTAGATCATTGGTAACGATTGATGACAAAATAATAATAATAATAATAATAATTATAAAACGATGATGATAACCATAAAACTCATAACAATAGTAATGGTGACGATCATGATGATCACTATCATCATCATCATCATCATCATCATCATTATAATAATGTTAATTATCAATAGTTAAGAAAATAATTATATAGCTCAAATTCATTCTTATGCGCACATATGTGATGTTCAATGTACTTGCAAGGTATAACTATTACCTCTGCTTTAGTCTTGCCGCCCTAAGGTTCAGAAACCATTTCCTACACTCAAGAAAAGAGTGACATATTATGCAAATGTCTAAAACTGTGGCATGATTACAAACTTAGTTCTTATTATAAATACATATATGATTTAGCAAAATTAACGTTAGTAATATGCAATACGGTCACATGTTAATGATATTTCTTCATTAAGAAGAAAATATCTTAGCTAAAATATAATCAATCAAATAACAAATTCATCAAAAATAGTTGTATATCATACTCACGGACGTCCCTGGCAATAAAAAGTCCCCCGAGGAGAATAGCGATACGAGCAGATATCGCCGTCATATTATCTTTCGTAATATTCACTCTGTCATATCAAATTTGCTTCAGTTGCTTGAAAATGTTAGGCTACGCTTTACAGCAAAAGGACATTCGTCGTTCATTCTAAGCGGTTGGAAGTAAATGGAAGAATACACAACCTCCTATCTAGTTTTGTCCACCCTTCGCCTTATGTACGCCTACATTCGACGATTAATCTCGAGAAAGTAATCGTTGGTTGATCGCATCGTCATGACTACAACGTAAACATATGCAGAAAAGTCATAGTTTGATGGAAGACCGATATGAATAAATCGACCACAGGTATCGACCGCCCTTTCCCGATGGCACTTAATTCATACGTCACGGTGAACGTAATTAGGGCACGTAATTTGACCCTTTAAAAAGAAGGTCGAGTTGTGAGAAAGATGAAGATAAAATTTGTGATTTTTCTTATTTCTTCATTCTTTTAATGTTAGTTTGTAAGAGTAGGTCTATCATATAAAAAATGTACCCTTAAAAGGAGGGTTCGACAGATGCCCACATATTCTGTTATGACAAGTAACAGCTAAAAGTTGTGGACCACAACTTTCAAGCCACATTTCTGCGTAAAGTGGATATGACCTCTAGCAAAACTGGGCAAATGTCTTATCATTTTGATTCCAAAACATCCAGGGGCGTAAATCCGTACCGAGGAGTTGGGGGGGGGGGGGTGATCGGCGATAGCCATCACATACTACACGCCAGGCGCGTACGCAAGATTTTAACATTTATAAATCGGGCCGAAAATTTCGCAACGACTCAGCCGACCGCTGAATAAGCATTATTTTCAGGGGGGGGGATGCAGGGGGGATGATATCAGGGGGGAATGTTTGTACAGGCCATCCCCCTACTTCAAGCCAGGGGGGATGCAGCCCCCCATCCCCCCGGGATTTACGCCCCTGAAAACATCACATAATACACCAATACTTATCTGCAACATGTTCAGCCTTTTCCGATCGCATGACTAGAACTGAAATTTATCTTTAACATTATGTGCGTGTGCCCGATTTATCGACCAGTCTTCGACTAATTAATTTTCTTTTCAAGAAATGATGAGGAAAGCAACATCTGTTTATTGATTAGGACGTAGTCCATAACATTTTGTTTATACCTCCATTTGCCTCTCACCTTTCACTTGCTTTTCGTGTCGGTGGTTATTGAATTTGAAAAATTTGCAGCAATTAAACCCAATGTATAAAGAGAGAGCGAGAGAACGATGATGGAAATCGAAAGAAAACTATACAGTGCGTCCCAGAAAAAAGCGAAACCGAGAATTATCCTTGATTTATCATAACGTAGTCACATTTATAATTACTAAATGACACATATTTGGAAAGCTTAGATCCTCCTCTTTCATTTGATGCATATTTTGCGTATCAGGAAAAATGAACAAGGAATGAAAAAGTTCTGTTTGTTTAGAGTAGTGCTTGCATTTCCATAATTTTATCAAACGAACTCGTTTTCAATGGGTGCCTGCCATAGCAACATGCAGAATTGACAACAGACTTCACTCTGTTTCGTTGACAATCAGCCATGCATGAAGTCTTTCGTCTTCGGCTGATTGTCAACGGAATGTTAGTTATGATAAAACATCGATAATTCTCGGTTTCGTTTTTTCTGGAACGCACTATTATGTACAACGAGAGGACAAAATCAACCAAAGGGAAGTATTTTCCCCAAAAAATATTCTGACGTTCCGAAACGATACAAGCACTTATGAAGCACACTATTTAAACGTATCAAATATTCATTAATTAAACTCTTACACTGTGGAATTTTCCCATTGACATCAATCATATGATATTATTTTCTTATCATTATCATAAAAATAATATAAAATAGTACATTGTTCCGTATAATGCAAGTCGATGGTGGAAAGCGGCAGGCGCGTACGCAGGGGGGGGGGGGGGGTTTGGGGCTAAACGCCCCCCCCCCTCCCTTGAGTTTTTTTCATGTATAAGTTTTGTGTATTTTTTTTTGAGAAACCGCCCCCCTTTTGTTTGTTTGTTGTTGTTTTTTAAATAAATAAATAATAATAATAAAAAATTATGCCAATGGCTGACCTTAAAAAGGTGACCTTACCCCCCCCCCCCCCCAACGGAACAAAATGTCAAATTTCCAAATTTTGAGACACAAAAAAAAGTGTCCTCTTACCCTCTTAAGGGGGAGGGCATAACTATGTTTTATGGATGACTAAGGGTAACTGGGGGACGGGTAGGGCTGGATAAGGGGATATAAAGCCCCATATGTAACCTTCTTGGTTTTAGGGTTTTACTTAAATATGAACAGAGAATAGGACTAGTGTCGGAAAAACTGATAGCTAGGGTTGGCTAAGGGAGGGGGGTAGCTCGGGGGCACTGCCCATTGATGTATGGACCCTCTCAGAAGACAGGGGGCTCTGAAAGGGAGCCCCCTCCGAGCATGAATAAAGCCTAGGGGCACTGAACATATATAATTGGAGCCCCCTCAGAGCATGATCAAAGCTAGACGGCGCTGGTCATCTCTTTTCGGACCCCTTCTGAAGACTGGGGACTCCATCCTTATGTTGGGGTGGTCCTTCCGAGCATGGAAAAAACCTAGGGGCACCGTCCATCTATTTGGAGCCCCTTCACAGTATGATTAAATCTAGGGCGCATCACCCATCACTTGTGGGCCCTCTTAGAAGACATGGGCTCCATCCTGATGTTGGGGAGCCCCTTCCTAGCATGATCAAAGCTAGAGGGTTCTGGTCATCTCTTTGTGGACCACTTCTGAAGACTGGGGGCTCCAAACTTCTGTGGGTAGCCCCTTCAGAGCATGAAAAAAAAAAGCCTAGGGGCATCGCAAATATAATTGGAGCCCCTCAGAGCATGATCAAAGCTAGAGGGCATTGGTCATCTCTTTTGGAACCCCTTTTGAAGACTGGGGGCTCCATCCTTCTGTGGGTAGCCCCCTCAGGGTATGAAAAAGGCGGGCATCGTAAATATAACTGGAGCCCCCTCAGAGCATGATCAAGGCCCCCCCCCCTAGTTACCCTTAGTCATCCATATAACATTGTTATGCCCTCCCCCTTTTCCCCTCCCGACACTAGTCCCATTCTCTGTTCATATTTAATTGAAACCCTAAAACCAAGGAGATAACATATACCCCGTTATATCCCCTTATCCAGCCTACCCCCCCCCCCCTTGGCTACCTCTAGCTATCCATAAAACATTGTTATGCCCTTCCCCTTATAGAAAACTACATGGGGTATGGACTATGTTGCGTGTTAACTAGTAATTCCACGTAATTCCCTTTTTAATTAAACTACTAAAAAGCAGTATCCCTCCAGACAATAAAACATTTAATAAATGATCACATTCAGACAAATTGATTATGGTTAAAAACTGGTTATATATTCTATAATTTCACAAAAGAAACAATGATTACAGAATTATCAGAAACCTCTTCTGTCTATCTCAACAGTGACAGACAACTAAACTATCACTAGGCCCTTGGTAGTTACTATTAATAATCAAACATAGATAACTTCCAACAGCACATTAATGTAAAGGAGACTCGACTTAGTAACTTTGGTATTAATGATTACCGCTTAATACAAGTCTCGAAATATCAGGAGTCCTGTTCAGTACAACTTAAGACATTACTAAAACAAGTCAGTTAAATATCATTCACACTGCATGGATAATAACAGTCAGGAAATACTACTCAAATCTAAGCTAGACAGCGTTTAGATTTACTTACATAGGCACGATTGTGGTTCAAAAAACCACTAAACAAATCTCTACTTGTGTATGTGCACGGAATGCACAACACGAGAATACAACAATATATCGGTGGATGTAGATATAGCAGATCTAGATCAGTAGACCAGGCCTAGACCTAGTGCAATTATGAACATGAAAATATGTGTTACGATTTAAGCGTAGAGCCTACGCACTCAACAACAGGCACTCAGTCAGTCAAAATAACCATCACAATGATAAACCAATGCAATGCATAAATCACAATATAATTAACGTTACGTGAGTCAGGAGTTGAATTCAAAGTAGACCTTCTTCAAGTTCTAGATGTAGAAACTAGCTAGTCGAAAACGGTGGTCGATGAGCTGGTTGTCGATCGCGTAGAAAATGCAGACGATGATCGACGCTAGATGAATACAGCGATGATGAAGATAACGATGCTGAAGACGATTACTACGGTGATGAAGACAGAGATGATGAAGACAGCGAAGATGAAGATAACGATGATGAAGACATCGAAGATGAAGACAACGCTGGTGAAGGCGATGACGTTGGCGAAGAGTCAGAAGACGGTCTCGTTGATGATGGTGATGAGACAGTCAATCGAATACAATAATGATGTAGTCGAGGTCAATAGATCAACTTGCGATGCAGGTCGAAGAATCAAAATGTCAAGACAATATATATCATATGAAGTCGATGATAAAAGGTTGTCAAACAATAATGCTGGTGAGAAAAGCGTTAGATCATATTGAATGTTCTATTCTCACTGCACGGCGAATTAACGTGTCGTCAATGCAGAACACAAGAGAGAGTCAAAATATATCTTGCATAACGTACGAGATGTAAATAGGTGAGCACGTCCACCGGGAATGGTCCGGGGACGTAGTAGTTCAATCCTCGTTGGATACAATTTTACAGATACAATAATCGACACAATAACAGCATGTGTGTATACCAATATTAAAACAGCTCACTGATTCCCGCACAGGAAAATCAGAAGAGCGCCAATCGCAACTACAACGCGATTGGTTCAAAACACGCGCACATGTATGTTGATTAATCACGTGATCTAAAAACTTATGAATAAATACGCGTACATCTATGTTAATTCATCATGTGATCAAAATACTAATGAATAAACATCGTTCAGTAATAAATCGAGTTAAAACCAGTTCTGAAGGTATGGCGTAATACCAAAATCCTCGAACTCTGTATGACTTCTCAGGCAGCCATTTTGGATTGAAAATACAATATGTATACCAGTGAATTATAAATTAATGCACTGTAACATTAGTCGCTACACCCTTCTCCCCTCCCGACACTAGTCCCATTCTCTGTTCATATTTAATTGAAACCCTTAAACCAAGGAGATAACATATACCCCGTTATATCCCCTTATCCAGCCTACCCCCCCCCCCCCTCCCCTGGCTACCTCTAGCTATCCATAAAACATTGTTATGCCCTCCCCCTTTTCCCCTCCCGACACTAGTCCCATTCTCTGTTCCTATTTAAATTAAACCCTAAAACCAAGGAGGTAACATATCCCTTTTATATCACCTT